TGGTACATCAATGGCTGTTAGCCAAGATGGTCAAGGACACAACCCCATGCTCTGGATGTCCCTAAATTTCTGACTGCCAGAAGCTGGGACTAGATGTCAGGGGATGGATCCCTCAATAAATTGCCCTGTTTTGTTCATTCATGAAGCATCTGGCAATGGCCACTGTTAGACCACAGGATACTGGGCTAGATTGGCCTTACTGGGTCATACCAATGGTCTTTCTTATGTTCTTAATATTACTTCCTATAGGTTATTGGCTTCCATCCTTTTTATGAAAATTTACCAAAATTAAGAGATCTGGTGTACCCACTAGTTTCCTACACCTCCCATTCAGCTATGCATGCACAAAGGAATTTAGGCTACTATCTCTGCCATAAGAATGGCATTTGGAGCAACAAGCTCCACCATGGATTAGACGGCACAACCTTGAAAGGGAGATAGGAAATATGCAGCAGCTCATCTGAGCTAACAAAGAGGCTGATCATTCAGGGCCCAATTTTGTCACCTTTACTCACTCTGGGTAATACCTTACTACACAGGTAGTCTCATTACTTTAGTTGACTATTCACAGAGAAAGGTGCTACTCTGTAAGTAAGGGTGGCAGAACTGGGCTCTGTGATGGACAACAGGGACATAGAATTATAGTTCCCAAAAGTGAGTCCTGGGGCTTTTACCAGGGGTTGTTAACCACTGATTTAGGCCATAGCACTATTTTATGGGATTAAGAGGTATGTTAGGGGTACAAGTAGGCATTTTGCTGGCTCTCTGCACAGGGGTGAATTTCACCCTCTTTGTGATTTAATTTATAATTAGCTGTTATTTTTTATTTCACAGAATTGTTTAGATCCATGTTAGAGATGTGGTTTCTTAATCTCCTACGATTAAAAATCATTTTTTCTAATAATAAATAAATGCAAATCCATACAGGACTGACATAAAAGGCACATAGGCTCTGCATAGTTTGTACTTGTTGCTGGATACCTCATTTTGATGATTGCAGTCATCATTCATCAGAAGAGCAGAAGCTATGATTGTTAAGCCTCATTATTTTCAATGAGGCCTGACAGTTGCAAGGTTAAACAGAAGACAGCAACTTTCATCCTACTGGTATTTCTTTTCAAATATGGGCAACTCTTCACTAACTTGTCTACTTTGGTGTCCTCTGCCATTGGTTGATCACAAAATTGTGATCATAGCTACATATCTAAGCACACCTGCAAGAGAAAGTTTAAACATTGATCTCTATTCCATATTTATCTTATGATCTTAAAGGTACTTAAATAACTGAAACCATTGTAGTTTTTTCCCCATGTGTGCAGCTGCACAGCATTGCTTTTAATACAACACTGATTTAAATAATCACGCTATCAGGTGTTTCTGTTTTCCAAAAAATAATGAACCCTCAAATCTCAGACTTTCAGTGTGTCAGATTAGTTTCTTCATCCCTTTTGTTCCATAGCAGGGGTTGTATTATCCTGGGGATAAGTACTAGTATGAGAGAGATTTTCATAGGTGCTTAAAGTGGCTGAGAAGGTTGTTGTGGTGCTATTGAACATAATAAATAAGATACCTGTGAAATCCAAAGGTCCTAGCAGCTGCTGAAAGTAAAGGGAGATGAATGATAACATCCTTCCCTTTCCATATTGCTATAACACTGAGCTTTGTGGGCCTGAACAGGTCTAGAGCCAGCAACAGCCCGAGCCATTTTGCCAGCCAGGACAGAAAATGTTTTAGGACCATGCCTCCCGACAGCAGTTGAAAGTGGGAGAAAACACAACCAGCCAATCAGGATTAGAGTGGGGCAAAAAACCAGCACAGCACTTCAGTACCCCTGGAAGTTGGCACCCAAGACAACCACCCTGCTTGCCCACCCATAGAACTGGCCCTTCCTACAGCCCCTATTCGTGAAGATTAAAAATGTCATCTTAATCCTTAACCTGAAAAAGCCATCAAAGGAAAGCTACTCTTCTTGGATATCTCCCAGATCTTTTGCAGAGACATTAGGCAATTCCTGGTTGGTGAAGGTTAGGGAACTGATGTCTATTCCATGAAAAAGGGCATATTTCCTGCAGATGGAAAACAGATAAGATACAGTGGGTCTGATCCTCAGATGATGTGAATTGGTATCACTCCATTGACTTCAATTGTTCAAATTAGATGTGGTTGAAAAATGGAATTCCTGTCCCATGGGAAAAGATTTTGAAATTGTGTTTCATCCTGAATTGGGACGAAAAGTAGAAATCTGGGAATTTTTTGTGAAACTAAATATTTAATTTGGACTTAATTAAAAGATTTCATTTCAATAAGGTCAAAATGTTTTGTTTCAACTTTATCATTTTGACTTTTATAATTTTATTATTTTGACTATTATAAAAGTTGAAAGATTTCATTAATAACATATTTGTTATCAAAATGATGAAGTCTGAATGGACTGTTTCATCCCTATGAAATGTTTCAATAATTCCCCATCAAAAATTTCAACAAAATAGATGCAGTCCCATGAAATGTTTTGATTTTGTCAAATCAGCATCTGCTAACAGAAAAACATTACATCATAAATTTTTCAACCAGCTGTATTCCAAATTATTTTAATATTGTCCCTGAAATAGGAAATGATAAAATATATGAACTTCTAAGTAAGAGGGAAGAAAAATATGGCATATCATGTGAAAGCTATGAGGTAAAATCCTTAGATCTTCTACGACCTAAAAGCCACTCACTTAACCAGCCTGGAAAAGTATTTCTGGTTAGAGTAAACTGCATAAGAACTGACTTAAGAGAGTTGTGTAGATCATGGTGGGTAAGTTGTTTCCTGCCGGTTCCTCACCCCCAAAAGTTGCAGTGGGGGAGGTTTAGATTGGATATTAGGAAAAACTTTTTCACTAAGAGGGTGGTGAAACACTGGAATGCGTTACTTAGGGAGGTGGTAGAATCTCCTTCCTTAGAGGTTTTTAAGGTCAGGCTTGACAAAGCCCTGGCTGGGATGATTTAACTGGGAATTGGTCCTGCTTCGAGCAGGGGGTTGGACTAGATGACCTTCAGGGGTCCCTTCCAACCCTGATATTCTATGATTCTATGATTCTAAGTTTGATGAACTCCTGTAGATGCATGTGTTATGGTAAATAATGGAAATTATAGCAAATAAAAGACAAAAGAAAAAATGACAAAGGTACAAAGATATATAGACCAGGGGGAAGGGGAAGAGGAGGAATAGTTAACCTGTAATGATACTACCTATGCTAGTACTTAAAATGTGAAACTACACAGACATAAAAACTGCATCTCCAGTACCTTCACCATGGAAAATGCAACCAGTACCATCTGCATTTTCCATGTGTCATTTCCTGGTGCCTGTCGATAATCTTCCCCTCAATTGTTTTTGGTAGTGAGTTCCTAATCTAGTTTCAGGATTTAAGCCATCTGAATAGCACAATAAAAGGTGTAGTTTCATGGTACTCAGAGGTTACTGGAAAATGCGAGTGTTTCAGTACCTAATTGTACACATTAGTGATTATCAGATGTTATAACTTGTGGCAGTAAATCCAAGAAGCATGAACTAATTCTTTTGCACTAAGTCACTAATGCATCCATTAGGTCAAATGCATTTTTCAGCTTTAAGGGGGTTAAATTATTTTTATATTGTATTTATGTTCCAGTGTTGTGCAGTATACAACACATATACACACAACATTTTCTCAGACCAGAAAAGATGGTGAACCTTCAGTGTTGTGTGCAGCTAGTTGGACTCACAAGTCACAACTCTTGTTAACTGGCATAGGCACTGAAAATATTCCCTTTCCCTCAATGTCCAGCTTTATGCTCTGTGTTTATTTGTGGGAGAACCTTCATTGGAGTATTACATTTAAAAAAACAGATTAAACCAAGGAAATAGCTAAATACACTTTCCCTGGAGTGCTTAAGAAAAATGCATATCACTGTGAACTCCTGGAAAAAATTTAGAATTTGGGTTTGGCTGTGTGCCAGGAAGAGTCTGATCTTGTGAGGCATTGAACACCCTCGCTCCCACTGCATTGGAGTCTATGGGAACTGAGTACTCTGAGCATTTTGCAGGATTTGACCCCAAATTATGGTATGCTCTTGTTTGTATCATCAATTCAAAACATGTAAACCCGTGTAGACATAACATCTTATACACTCTCAACTCAGAAACTCGACTTTTATCATGTATTTTGAAAAGAGATTTTCACACATGGGATTTTTAGAGATAAACATACAGTATGTGCAAGGCACATTGCGCAATTGAGCTAAGGCTTGGTCTATCCTTAAAAATTAGATCGACCTAGCTACAGTGCTCAGGGCTGTGACAAATTTGGCACCCTCAGCACCTTAGTTAGGTCAACCTAACCCCCACTGTAGGTTCAGCTAAGAATTCTTCTGTCGAACTGGCTACTGCCTCTCGGAGAGGTGGATTAACTAGTGACAGAAAAAAACCTTTCGTCAATGAAGGAAGCACCCGTGCTACATCAGCATAGCTGCAGTGCTGCAGACTTGCCACTGTACCGCTTGTAGTGTACACATAGCTTTAGTACCACGTGCTAGTTTTCTTTTAAAGAAGACAAGACAATTAGTATTGCGTTTAGTGAAGGCAACAGCCACCGAGTCGGGTTGATTTTTTTCTCCAGGAATTGAATGTGCTGCCTGTGTATCGCGGCATATCTGCAGCAAGATTTATTCAGACAGTCCTGTGTAAACTAGTGTGTCATGGGGGTCTCAGACACAGTATGTCCTACACAGAGGGAAGATGAGTTGATATACACCTCGGACTGTGACTGGGTTGGGCTGTAGGTTAAAAGTTTCTCCCACGTTGTCGGCATTCTGCCCTAGTGTCTGTCTTTTACAGTAATGCTTTGTTTCTTAGCATGACCACCACCAGGACAGCTTGGTTCAGTGCAAACACTGTCTCTTTCAGCCAGAACATTCCTAATGTTAGCTTCCTTTTTATTTTCTTCCCTCCCTTCCCCACATTGCCCGCATCTCAGGTTGGAAAGACTGGTGGACGTCCTGAGGAAGAAGATTGGAGCAGGGACCATTAGGACTGTGATCTGACTGAAAGCGCCAGCCTAGGGAAGTATTCACATCTGGTGACCAGGCTGCTTCATTCAGCACTATGTAAACACTAAAGCCTTAACTTAGCAAACAGTTGTTAGAAGTGGGACACTCCAATGACATTCCAGACTGAGATAAAATCAAATCATAAATGTTTAACCACTTCGCTGCTGAGTTGTGTTATTTGTCAAACTGTATCTCTGCAAACATGTATTTGCTTTAAGCAGCTGTATTGTGGTATGGTCAGTGAGTATTGTGGAAATCATTTGTGTGCTGTTTTAACAGTAGTCTCTTCTCTCAGTTAACATTGTCGGACTGCAATGTGCTGAAAGGCATAGTCTGGTCATGTTGTTACATACGGCCTGCTTCAGGGGCCAGTCCTACAAAGCACAGTCTCAAAATGTAAATCTACTGTGCTATTTATCAGTCCGCAAACAATTGAATATTTTAATGTTGAATGTATTTCTTAATTGATAATAGAAGTTCAGATTCAATGTTCTATGTATATTAATATCATGGAGATGTTTTCCTTCTGATGCACACTCATAATCCCTCCATATTGTAGTTTGTTAATCAGAATTATGTAAATGCATCATGGGGAAGGTATACACATGGCTTTAAAAAGAATTTCTATAGCTAGCACAGAATCCTACTATAGATCAGTTTCAGCTCCTTATATACATGTATGTACAGTTAGATTTCACTAAAAGAGTAGATTCATTAAATTGTAAAAACATAGTTACATTGATTAGTGTTGAAGCTGTAGAGAAGATTATTCTGATTGTTATATGTCACTCTTCTTCCCTCTCCTGTGAAAGACAATCTCTGAGGGGTTAATACTCCACCTTGCTGGGGCAAAGGAACTGCCATTCACCTCCACTGTGTAAGGCACAGCCTCACCTCTTCTATATCAATCTTCTTGCCTCCTCCTTTGAAATGGAAGCACTGAACCTTCTGCTCAGCCCCCCTCGTCTGGCTTTTGTGTGTTTATGCTGTCTTCTCTCTTTAGTGATTGTTTTTATAGATACAATGAAAGAAGAGAATAGAAGAATGAAGGAAAGAAATCTGCAATATGCCGTTTAATGTGGAGAGTCAGACTCAGGGTCCGTCTTTCTGGTCAGACACTGCAACATGCAGAATGCAGAATACTCTGCATTCTTTGTCTGCAGACCTAGGCTCCTTTTGGTTTCAGTATGCCAACTAGGCCACTTGCAGGGGAAGGTACGTTTACCTACAGTTCATAGTACTTGTTATGCCCCAGGAGACTCTATGAGTGATTCCAAACCACCCACTCTGCCCCAAGACAGACTGTGATTATTGCTTCTGAACCTCCATAGTCATTAAACCACAGATGACCCTTTAATGCTTCCAGACCTGGAAACTGGTAAAACCCTAGAGGAACCAATGACTGTTGCACCAGGCCCTAGTTCCTCTTGTGCGCAAAGTGAGCCTGTAATTACTCTCTTGAGGATGCTGCTCTCACTAGATTGGAAGCAACTACTAACCTATTCTAATATCCTTACTGTACCCCCAGTGGTGTACTGAGTGGCATGCCACATGCTGTGGACACCTCTGTGCCAATTCTGCTTGAGGGAAATGGCAAACAAGGAAGGAAGAAGTTTTCGTCCATGCTTGAGTGACCTAGGTGTCACTTTCACATTTATTCAGGTATATCTAGAATTTTCCCCTTGATTCTCTCTTAAGGGTAGGGCTTCTGATTTTCAGTTTTAACTGATATAGCGCTCTTAGTGCAAAAAATGAAACTGGTGTTTATCCAATGAACAGCAGAAATGGTTACTTGTATCAAAGAACTTGCCTACATGGAGCAATAATGTGGACTGTGGGATGTGATTTCTAAAGCGCACTAATGTATTACACATTAATTGGTCCATGTAGACGTGGCTGGCATGCACAAAAGGTTCCCTAGTGCGCTATGACATAGTGCTGTTTGAAAACAGTACTGTGTTAAAGTTCACTAGGGAACATTATAAAGAGATTAATCATTACAGTGTATGCTACTGTAATGAGTAATATATATAATATACATCACTCATTGCAGTGTATATAAAGAGGCAGCCCACAAAAAAATCTACCCTGATTTTTGGACAGCTACATAAAACTAAAAAAAAAAAAATTGCTAAAAATAACCCCCCCCCCCAAATGAAAAACAGAATCCCTAATGAAAGAGCTCCTAATCCTTTACATGCAGACTTTACATGATCATGCTTCCATCCTCCCTTTTTATCCAGGAAAGTAGGATTGATCATACAAGATCAGATCAGTAGTCATTAAGTCAAATATACTCTTTCTGGTTGTGGCCAATAGTTGATTCTTCAGAGCAAGATGATGACCATCCATAATATAGTTGTGCCATGTTGTATATGAGGGAAAATTCCTTCCTGACTCTGTGTTACCACTTATACCATGAAGCATGAGATCAGATTACCTTTTAGCATGGATTTTTCGCACCCTTGTAGTGCAACTACAAATGACTTTTATTCATTGTTAAATTACCCATCACTTTTTAAAAAGTCAGCTACAAATATTTGTCGTCTTTGGGAAAATGCTTGTGAAGGCTCATCTAAACGAGAAGGACCCCTTGAGTTCTAATCCTGTCCTGCTACTGGCTTGGTGTGTGGCCTTGGGCAAGTCATTTAGGGCCCGATTTTTAAGGTATTTAGGCACCTAAAGATGCAGATAGGCACCTAGTGGGATTTTTCAAAAGTGCCAAGGTATAGAATCATAGAATATCAGGATTGGAAGGGACCTCAGGAGGTCATCTAGTCCAACCCCCTGCTCAAAGCAGGACCAACCCCCAATTTATGCCACGAATCCCTAAATGGCCCCCTCAAGGATTGAACTCACAACCCTGGGTTTAGCAGGCCAATGCTCAAACCACTGAGCTATCCCTCCCCCCAATGGGTAAACTCCCATTGAAATAAATTGATTTATTCTCCTGCTCCCATTGAAATGAACGGTTAATCCCCCCAGTGACTTCAGTGGTATGGGATCAGGCCTTTAATCTCTGTAGTGTAGGTGAATTCCTGGACCCATTAAAATCAAGGGGAGTTTTGCCATTACCTTTAATGGGGGGCAGGATTTCACCCTCTTAAGTTTCCCCATCTGTAAAATGGAGATAATAGTATTTTGCTTTTGCTTTTCCTCCCAGAATTGTTGAGCGGATTGATTAGTTAATGTCTGTACAGGTGTAAAATACTGTATAACCGCAAAATAGACATTATTTATTAGTCTCCTAATTTATGGGGAAGGATGAGACTGTGTCAGATTACATCCCAGTAGTGATAGTGCCTTTACCACCAGTTCAGAGTAAGGGCTTGTCTTCCATAGGCAAAGACTATGACAATGGTAATTACTGGTGTAAGCAGTGTCACCATTACTTTGATGTAGCATAGAGATATATGTACATTTCATATCCCTCCTGAGATTTTGTGCATTTCTCTGCGTGATCATGCAGCGAATGACAGCACTGGGAGCCATTCATGATGCATGCCATGATAAAATATGTAAATAGTGTCACGTTGTCTCTGGATAAGAATGTTATTAATGCTTTTCAGCACTGTAATTATATTCATAGTAAGCCTTCCCTAAGCCCTCACTAATTAACAATATTGTGACAAGTCAACTTTAACAGAACAGAACTGTGGCCCTTTAGTTATTCAGTACTGTTTTTCATTCAACCCACAGCCAAAATCTCACAGCATAGTTTTGTACATTGGTGTCAGGAAAGCTGCTGATAGTTGAAAAGTTCATAGCCCACTCAGTATTGTAGCGGAACCCTATAGATGAAATCAGTTATAACCCTCTTTAAATATATTCAGCTGATAGGAAGACTCATTAGTTAATTATTAATGTATGAGAATTTGAAGACAGCTTTTACAAATAAGCTATCATATTGAAATAGTTTAATAATGTCAATGTGTTGTCACAGAGACATTCCATTTTTTTTCAAATTATAGGATATTTTATAAGATTTTCATTCACTTTAGTTTCCACATTAAAATGGTTTTATAAAAAAATCTTATTAGGTGACCTTGAATTGTAATTGCTTTAGTTCACACACAACAATGAAGTTGCTATCTAAATGTAAGTTTCTACATGCCTTTGTTTTCTTTGTTTAAAATAATGCCATATGAAAGCTGCTTTTTGGGGGTGCTGTACCCCACGTACCAGCATAAAACAATTTACTGTGAGGCAGAGAAAACTCTTGCAACAAATGAATGGCAGTTTTTCTGGTACTATACTTGACAGCGTTGCAGCATTATGTGAAGTTCATCTGGCTTTTATAATTACACCAATTAGCATAAGGTCTGTGCAAAATATTCCTTTTTCTTCCACTGCACTGGTAAATAAAAAATGTATTCACAAATCCAAGAAACAAAGTGTTTGTCTTGTTTTAGCTTGATCGTAAGTCAGTTGCTGGGCTTCAGTGGTCTAAACATTTCATTCTCCAGTTTTGTAGGGAGCGCACGTGTTCTGTGAGGCTTTTAAACAAATACTTGGAATGGTTGAAAGATCTGCATTGCCAGTGCCTAGCTAAATATGTAGTCTTTAGAAAAGATGTGGTTTATTTTGGCACTGTTTAAAAAACTCAAATATTTTAAACATTTGTTAAGTTCAAGCTTGCACATTTGAACTAGCCGTATACATTCCAAAGTTGCATCTCAAGTTACCTGTCTTTGTTTTTTGTATTTTTAATCCCTTCATTAAAATAGTCTTTGTAAAGGTTTTTTTTAAAAAAAGTAACATAAAATATTGTTATTAAACTAATGAGAGTCAAAATTAACTGCAATGTCTGACATGCAATTTCAAAAACGTCGTTTAGAATCTGAAGCTTCATGTCAGTGGCCCAGATTTCTTCCTCATAGAATGAATAAAATATATTAGGGGCCTAATCCTACAGACCCTTCCTCTTTGGAGTAACGCTTACAGTGGGTTAGTAAGTATTACCCATAGTACTTTGCAGGATCAGGCTATAAGCAGACAGTTTGCCTGTGTAGTCTATTGATAAAGTAGAATAACTTCAGAAAAAAGAAATCCTTCTTTTCTGTTTCCAACATGTGATAGGGAAATTTTTATAATTTAAAGTAAAAAAAACTAAACTTACTTTGAATTTTCTGGCTAGTTTGAACCTGAAATTCATAGTGAAACTCAAGAGATGAAAACCACTGCAAACTGAAACTACCATGTTTCATGTGGCTCTAGTTAGACGTAAAACGTAATCCCCAAATCCACACTTGCCCCCTTCCGGGGTGGGAGTTTAACCGCAGTCTTTCCAGTTCGCTCCTGCCGCAGTGGCCAACCACAACCCCGCGAGTCTAGCCCCTCTGTTCAATGGCCGGTTGCAGTCTGTCATGGCCACCCTTCCACGGCCAGGTGCTGTACAAGGAGAAAGGGTGAGACCCAGGCCCACCCACTACTCTGGGTCCCAACACAGGGACCCTCTAGTGGCAGCCTCCCTGCCCTCCTTCTCTCCCCTTGTCTAACTGTCCCTGGGCCACTTCCCCTCTGGCCCTTCGCACCCTCTAGGCCCTTTCTATCAGGGCCTGCAGTCTGACAGGTATTGGGCCAGAGCCCTTCTATGCTCCCCCAAGCCTGCCCAGCACTGCTCTGTCTGAGGTGCCTGTCTCCTGCTCAGGAGACAGACCTTCCCCCATGAAGGTCTGGGACAGACTCCCTGCTCCCTTCCTGGGCAGCCTTTATATAGGGCATAGCCTAACCCTGATTGGCTGGCTGTAATACTGGCCCTCATTGGCTCCCAGTAGGCCTTTTCCTGATTGTCTGCCCTTCTGTGCAGCCGCTCTGGCCTACTCTAGCCCTATCTCTCATAGGGGTGGGGCAGTCGCCCCACTACAGGTAGAAACTCTTATATGGTGCATTTGTCACAGAACAGATATTAGCTGACCAAATTTCTGAAGCAAACCTTTTCAAAGAGACTTCCATAAATTAAAATGCATGATAAAATAAATACACAAATAAAGAAATAACCACTGCCTGGGAACTGCTCTAACTTGCAGATTGGAGACCTAGAGTTTTGTTTTTCAGTATTTGACTTTCACAGACGTAGTTATATTGTTTCACAAATTCTTTATGTGGCACAATGGGTGTGTTCTCTGTATGCTATTTATAAAAATCAATCTCTGTAATATCAGACCACAAACTGATGTCTAAGCAGGATTTCAGCTATCAACAGGTTAGAATCGCCTTCCTTTCACAAAATAAAATAACTGTAGCCATTAAGTTGACTTGGTGAATACACTTTACACTTTATTAACCAACAAAGCAGCAGTGTATCAGAGTATACGTCTACCAGAATATACTGGACCCAAAAGAGAGTAACTAACGGTGGGAAAACTGCATGAGCTCAGATTTTGCATTACCACTATGCTTGATATCTTAACATTTCCAATAGTATCATTATTTTTGTTTCATCCACTTCACACATTGGAGCAAATTTTACTTTCACCCTCAGATTCTAACATAATAAAGCTGATGAAGAACAGGAATATTATTAGTGAAGATCACTAAAGACTAGTAGTTACACTGTGCTATTGAAGAAGATCAAGAACTGACAGAGATTGAAGCAAGATCAGCTACTGCCTTGCTGTATCAGTTTGTAGTAATATGAAATGCAGAGGGTGGCGGATTTTATGCAATGACTCCAGTGTGTTTGAAAATAAAGGAGTGAAATACTAATATGTTTGTGCCTGGTATTGATAGAAAACATGTTGGTACTTAATAAACTGGAAACATTGTTTGTTCTTCCTTGTAATAATATTTCTCCTCTAATAGTGCCAACATCAGTGAGTGGTTATTACTGGCACATAAAGTATTAGCCATGTAAATTAGCTTGTGGAGGTCAGATTAACACTTCCCCTGACTTCTGTAAATCCTCCTTTTTTGTTTATTTGGGGTAATTTTTCTTCCTGTTTTCCATTCACTTTTCAGTTTGCTCATCACAGCAGTGTATACCACTAGAGGCCTTCTTGGTAAGGAGTCTCTGAAGCCAAAGCAGTTGATCAATCCAAATTAGTTTGAGCAAGACATCAGTGTTGTGATAATGAGTCTTTCAGAGTCTGAACTCTCTGCTATGTCTGATATACCCACAGTCCTATGGTTTATAATCCTTGCTCAATCACCAGTTCATCCATTTTGCTTTAGCGGGTATTCCAGAGGTTTGGCAAAACTTGGGGCAGATTACTTTTGACCATTGGGCTTCCCCACTTGGCACTTATAAGAATCATGATTGACACAATAGTTTGTTGAGAAAAAACATAAGCAGTTCTTTCACCAAAGTCTTTTTTTGAATCATTTACAACAGATTGAACTGGCATGTTCATTCTTTCAGTTAATTGAGCTCTATCTTTTTTTGGAGTCTTGTGTTCTGCAAAAGCATCTGCTTACGTAAGTTCATTAATTCTGTTGTAATTATGATATCTATAGAACAAAGATTGAAATGTAAAGTCAAAGAACGTGAGTACATTTGATTGCCAATCGACAACTTTCTATGCAAAGATGACCGTAAAGCAGTTGAAAATGTGAACATCAAAAAAACTCACTAAAAGAGACACTTCATAACTCATGAAGGTTTATGGTGCAAAGTCTAGAGCCAATATCCCAACTACATGCACGTTGGAAAAAACAAAGCACAGTGTCGTGTTGGGATACTGCAGAAACTGGTGCCTCAAGCAGGCACAATAAGTCGTGGAATTTCAGGGAGTGTGGAAGTTATGCCATTAGTGAAGAGGGTGCATTATCTATGCTGCATGCCACGCCATAACTGCCCCTGTGGGCACTAGCCTCACCACTAGTCCAAACATTCACGGGAGAACAAGAACCACATTGTGTTCTTTGGATCCAGTCCTACAAGCACTCATCAAGTGGAACACCCAGTCAGTTCAGTTCAGTGGGAGGAGAACGCTAGGAATTCTGCAGTTTAAAATTTGAATCTCCAGAAACTGGACTCTTTCCTATGGACAAGCAAAGTGCTAATCCATATAGCAAAATTACCCCACTAACACTGAGGAATGCACTTGATACAGCAAGTACAAGTCACAAATTAAACTTCATCTGGAGAACAATCCCACAGCAAACCACACAACTTCTGCATGAGAATGCAAACTTTGTTTGTTTAAAACTTAAAAATGGGATGAAAAGCAGTTGTTTGGAGACTTAAATAAAAGTGGCCAGCTTTTCAGAACTGCCAAGCGCTGGCAAAGCCCATTGAAGTCAAAGAGAGTTGCAGGTGCTCTTTAACTTAGATACTTATGTGGATCTAGGAATCTATTTTCAGGCACCTGTGTTGAAAATATTGGCTATCTATGTTCATTTTCTTGATTTACTTCTTATTTGATGAAACAGGCAAACCTAGTTCCATATTTATAATAGAGTAGTACCTTGCTCATTCACTTTTTGCTGGTTCAGACACTTCATTATTGGTATAAAAAGCTGTCAATCTCTCCACAACTTCTCAAAGATTGACTAGCCAGGGTTGCAGTGAGTCACCCTATTATTAAGACTTCCATCCTGTAAAACACTTACTAGTATGTTGTGATGTATTATCATAAATAATTAACATTGAATTATAATTTTAAAAATATCTAGTTCTTATGTAGCATTTTCTTCAGTAAATCTGAAAGTGCTTTACAAAGGGAGGTAAGTATTATTATCCCCAAATTGGCAAAATAAATCCTAAAAGTGCATTTGGTGATCTATTTGCTTGCTTACTTATTGTGTTTATTCAGATAGGGCCTTAACTGAAACCTATTGATGTCAATGGGAGTCATTCCACTGATTGCAGCTGGCCAAGAATTGGGTGATTAGAACCAGATTTTACTATTTTCCTTGATGTTGAGTAATACCATACTCCATGAGTAGCCCCGCTGAGACGGGGAATGAGGAAGGGTCATAGAATCTGGCCATTACTAGTTTGCAAACTTCAGTCATTCACAGTTACCCACTCCATCATTAGTATTAATTAGTAAAGAAATATTGTATTAATAAACCTCTCTATAGATCTTACTTTTGTCATTGTTGATTATCTGTTATATTCTATACTGTGTTTATTTGCTAAGCAATTAACACATCCTCTACTTCTAACATTTATCAAGCCATAAAATTGGATTAACAAATATATATCGAAACTTGGTGAGTTTCACACACTCAGGGCAAGAAAAATGGTCTTGTTTTCATTTGATTTCATTATAGACTAATAATGAACCACTGGGCCAGAATATGGTGCAGCCTAACAAGTCTGTGCAAAGTATCCTGCCAGAATTTGACCTTTGATTATACTCCAGGTTTTTGCAAACTCCTTACTAGTGTGAATAATACATATATTGTTCCACATTATCAAACATTTATTAACCGCCAGAGACAGTCATCATAAAGTTCTCTGGAAAAAGTCCAGAAAGCTTCACA